CCGGCTACTATCACTTGAATGAATTCCTGGAAGGCCAAGGTGAATAGGTTTTGTTAGGCCCGACAAAATTATACTGTCTTATTGCTAGGAGTTTTTAGCAGCATTACCTAAGGAACCTCCATCAGTGTCTTAGAACCTGAAAAGTGTGTACATTGGAATCAACATCACTCTAAAATCACCCTAGAAAACAAGACATAGTTAATACCTGACACCCCATTTAAGACACCAGGATGTTCATTCTGAGATGCATGTCTCTTTGAATAGACTGAACTGGACATTTTGTGGATAGTGGATAAAGACCCCCTTTTGACAAAGAATTTTTAAGGAAGCAGATGACTTCATGAGGTAGACAGCTAAACCCAAGATTACAAAATGAGAAATCTGTCACTTAAATGGACACTAATTGAATGTTGCACATACGTATTTGGTCAGCACCTGAATTGTACTGGGGAATTAGGGAAGGTTCTAGAGGAGATTAAACATGAATGGATATCTGTCTGGAACATTTAGGCTTGGTTGCATATAATGTTAATAATTATTGTATTGCATTGTATTGATTTTACTTTATTGTTGGGTCCAATGCTTCCCATTATTTGTATCTGCCTGTGGAAATGCTTATCAGAAAATTTGTTATGGCATCCAGAAAAGAGTTCTCTAGGATATACAAAAATACAGTGGAGTTGCACATACCATGGTGATCTGCAACCAAAAGTGGGGACTGTGATAAAAGAGTTTTTGGTTTAACTTGCTTTTCTCCATTTACTTAAGATGAGCAAGTAATGTAACTAGCTATAGTTCCAGTATTAATGATTAGTTTACAAATCCCAACCATACCCCTAGTGTTTATTGATCAGTTTACAGTTTTACCTAATGCTGATCTTCCCCTTCTTCTCCCTTCTATAAAATTTCATTGTGTCCACTCTGTCTATGTAACTTAAACCTATATAAGGTTGCTGAAACTGCACATTTTTGTATATAGTGAATCGATGCTCTGAGCCTATAATAAACCAGTTTTACCATATCTCTGAATATTGATGATTATGACTGGCAGCAATACCTATCAAAGGAGCCTTGGACAACACACCCTTCAAGTCTTTTCTTTCCCTGTATTTCCAGTTTTCTTTCATTTTACTCCCCTCCTGGTACCCTATGATTTAGTGAGCTCCTTAAGGTCAGGGACTGTTTTTGCCTAACAACAGGAAAAAAAAATTGTGTTGCTCAGCAATGGTTTTGAGTAGAACCTGAGTTAACTTTCTATGAGCCAAGTTGTATGGGTGACCCCAGGCACTTTACTAGGAACTTCTAGTACTTTTTGTTAGATTTGGGGTGAGATGATTTACTAGAGTGAAGCAAGATGAACTGGAAATTCTTTGGGCTTTAGTCAGGTGAGAGAACAAGGATGCAAGGGATTTTATACTGTTTCTGGCCTGGTATTCTAGAGGGTGAACCAGAGGGAATTCTCTTTGCTCTCTTAAGGTCCCAGTAGTTCCCAGGGACTTTGATTGGACTCTATAGGTCCTTAGATGTTGAGCCCAGAGAGATGATAATAATGATGATAATGATGATGATGATGATGATGATGATGATGATGATGATGATGATGATGATAACAGCATTTAAATATTGTTTTAAGGTTTATAAAGCACTTTACATATGTTATTTTATTTGCTCCTCATAAAAACCCTGAAGTAGGTACTGTCACCATTTTACAGATACAGAAAGTGAGGCTGAGAGAAATTAAGTAACTTGCCTAGGTAGGACTTGAACTCAGGCCTTGACTCCAAGTCTCTCTCTATTCAATGACTAGCTGCCTGCCTAGCTAGAGAGATGGACTCCTCAGGGTCTAGTAGATGGTGTCCCCAGATCTGAAAAACCTGGGTTAGCTCATGGAGAGAAGATTTAAAAGAAGGCCTTAGCAAATTTTTGGCCCTTTTAGTCAAACAGAGAGGTATGCGGGACCTGGGTAGTAGATGATCCATATATCTATATATGTATAAACTGTTGAAGAGAGTAACATACCATCACCAAACATATCAGTTAGTAAAGATTCCAGGGCCCCAGGACAGCAGGACCATGTGGCTCCGTAGAAATGGAAAACAGCCAAAAGCTCTCCCGTTCTCCTGGAATTGTTTTTTCCCCTCTCCTTTTCTGTTTTTCCCAAACTTCACCTTGACCTTTATTAATTAATTTGTTTGTTTTGATAGAGTGGGGTGTAGTGGGCAGAGTTTGGTTTGGCTTTTTTTTTGGTTTGACTAGGTAATGGGGTGAAGTGACTTGCCCAGGGTCACACAGCTAGTAAGTGTTATGTGTCTGAGGCTGGATTTGAACTCAGGTCCTTCTGAATCCAGGGCCTGTGCTCTATCCACTTTGACATCTAGCTGCCCCAAGTGAGCAGAGTTTCAAAATTATTGAAGAGGCTTTGGTAGAGTTGGCTCAGTTAGTTTTTTATTCTTCCAACATCTGACGGGAAGATGAATCTTGAACACATCTTGACAAGACAAACTTTCAAAATGTCAAGCAAACAAATAAACCCAACTTTCTATTGGTAAAATATGTTTCTGAAATATTTAAAAACTAGAAGCAATTCATGCTAATAGTTTCAGTTAAGACTTTATCTTTGAAGCAGAAATAAAACCTCAGTATTTCCTGAGGGCACAGACTTAAAGTAACCTACTCAATAAACCCTACCTTTTTTTTTTCACCTAGAAGGCATTTTCTTCCCTACTGCTCTAATTCTATCTCCCCCTGGTAGTAAAAGTAGTTTTAAGGCCTTCTGAAAAATCATGAAAAGCATTCCAAGCAACCACCATGAGGAACATAATTAAAACCCTAGGATTTAGGCTGGGATGGACTCAAATGCTTTACAATAAAGAAACAAATCTCTTTATCAGTCTCTTAACGCCTAAATTGTGGTAGAGGAATGACTACATCAGTTTAAAAAGGAGAGCCAACATTAACTATCTGTCTTCTGTTTCCGGAACTTTTAACAAGTAGTTTTCTGTACTTTTCATGAGGGTTTGTGGAGGAGCAGTTTATCAATTCCCCTATCCCAACTGAAATAGCAAACTATAATCACATGGGAGGTTAGAACTCAGGGGTCAGACTTGACTGACAAGAAAGGGAATTTCTGCATTACTGAGTATGATCTCTATAACTAGTCAGAAGATATACAGAACTGAGATAAAATGTGAAATTAAGGACATATTGATGATGTTAAGTATCAACTTCCTGAGAGAATATAACTAGTTATAAGTTCCTATATTCTTATTGTGAATCAGTGTGCATATGTAAGCCTGTGTTAATATTTCTTTCATAGGAATCATAGTCTGTCCTAGTTCAGTGGGGTCCCATTCAAAACTACATTGCATATATATTAGTTGAGGGGTCTGTCTTCAGCCACTGTTTTTTTAATTGAAAAATGAAAGAATTTTTAAGTGAAAGAATGAAAGAAACAGGAAGGGAAAAGTCAATTCTAGAATCCTAAGAGGTAAAAGTTGTTCTTGAAATAAAAAGTGTAACACAGTCTATAATATTGGCTGAAATGGAAAGTCTAATGCATACAGTGAATTAATCAAGTGATCTTTCAGGGGAACAGTAATTTAAATTTTTAATAATTACATTGATCTTTCCAGTGTTTTCATTCTGGCCTATTAGACTTGAAGGCAGTGATTACTTTTCCCTGTCTTACCTCTATATTCCCACAGCCCAGCTCAATGCCTTACAAAAGTTTAATAAATGCTTGTTGTAAAGAGCGCTGAATTTAGAATCTGAGCACCTGTTACCAAACCCTAGGTTTTCAACTTCATCACTTGTATGACCTGGGTCCCTAGGATGAAATACAAAATTCCCTTTGACATTTAAAGCCTTCAGAGACTGGCCTCAACCACCTTTACTCCATTGCATGGAGTATCCTCCAACCAAACTGGTCCTCTTAACTGCTCCTCACACATGACACTCCATCTCTTGAGCCTCATGCTAGAACATCTTCCCTTGTCACTTCTGCATCCGAGTTCGCCTTTAAGTTTACGTTCACCTTTACGGTGCACCTCAGGCACTCCTTTCCATAAGAGACATTTCCTTTTCCCACCAGGTTCTAGTGCTTTCTCCCATCCCTTCATATCACCTTCTACAGACATCACTGGGTAAAATATAGTCATTTTAAGGGCATATTTCTATCTTTCTATGCCTAGCACAATACCTTAATCAACGCTTACTGATTGACTGTTGGAGTAATGTGAATAAATTTTTTATAAGAAATTTAATTTTCTTTCTTTCTTAAAAAAAAACCACGAATTGAGAGGTAGCATGGTGAAAAGGTGGGGAGTGGGGGGAGGACTCTAAAACCCCGGGATCCGTCATGCCTCTGACATATTCTGGCTACATGACTATCAGCAAGTCAAACAGCTTCTTAGAGGTCCCAGTCGACTCTCTAAAACTAGAATTGCTCACACGAGGCGTCCATTAACAGATGAAATCAAGAGTCTATACCAAGGAGTTTCCACAAGTCACTAAGAAGGACATAGGTTTTAGAGGGCATGTGACGAAAGCATAGAAAAGAGGTGGTAGGGAATGAAATTAATCTGGGTAGGGAAGAGAAAGGAACAGATGTAAACATTGACCAATCAGAAGCCGCCGAGTGCTTTTTTCAAATAAAAGCAATTTTGGTTGCAAACTACCCCAAAACTAAGTTCATCTTAAAGAACAAATTGAAATTAAACTCAAGAGGGAAGATAATATTGAAAGGAAATAAATTATGCAAAAACTAGAGTACTGAATAGACATTTGTACAAATGAAGGAAGAATTTTCCAAACAAAGAAAGAACCAGGGGGTGGGCGAATGTAAATGTTTATAAATATAAGCTATAAAGGTGAGACTTCATTAACCAGTGCAACTGTTGCGTTCATCAGTAGAGAGGATTGAAATATGAACCAATTAGGTTGAAGCACAAGTCTCAGAATGTGACGTCAGTCCAATCAGTACGACCCTGCCTCTATAAAAGGCGGCAGTAGGTGCCACCTTTTTGTCAGTGTCTTTTAGAAATTGTTCTAGTGTCTTCAACATGGCTCGTACCAAGCAAACTGCTCGTAAGTCTACGGGTGGTAAAGCACCGCGCAAGCAGCTTGCTACGAAAGCTGCCCGTAAGAGTGCGCCGGCTACTGGCGGCGTGAAGAAGCCTCACCGCTACCGGCCCGGCACCGTGGCCCTGCGGGAGATCCGGCGCTACCAGAAGTCGACCGAGCTGCTGATCCGCAAGCTGCCCTTCCAGCGGCTGGTGCGCGAAATCGCGCAGGACTTCAAGACCGACCTGCGCTTCCAGAGCTCGGCCGTGATGGCCTTGCAGGAGGCCAGCGAAGCCTATCTGGTTGGGCTGTTTGAGGACACGAACCTGTGCGCCATCCACGCCAAGCGCGTGACCATCATGCCCAAGGACATCCAGCTAGCTCGCCGTATCCGCGGGGAGAGAGCTTAGACAGAAATTTGAATTTTTGTTATTCAAAAACCAAAAGGCTCTTTTCAGAGCCACTTACATTTTCCTTGAAAATAGCTGTAATGCGATTTTTAGCGTTGGTTACCTAATCCAATTGGCCTGAGCACGTTCCCCTTAAATTGTGTCTGCAGGCAAACTTTGTGTTTTCAAAGGAGCGTTATGCACCGTTCGACGTTGGGGGGGTTACTCTTCCGGATCTCGCGAGAGCTTTTGGCAGACGTCTTGCCAGTTACAGGTTGAGAAAATACCAAAAGAATATAGGGTGCTCATTGCTTTAGGAGAAATTTCTAGCTTAAATTTACTGTTTCCGTTTCTCGCCATCTTTCTAAAAGCTTGTGATTATTCAGTTATATCCGACTCTGACCTCAGGGTGAGGAACAGGCAGACGTAATCTGATCCATTACTCGCCAAGCTTGCCCAATCAGGCAGGTCTTAAGCGTAGATGACTGCGTATTCCGGCATGGCTAACAAAAGGACAACCATGGCATCACAAAACTAAAAAGTGCAAACGCCTGAATGCTGGATATTTATTCTTCGTGTATGCAAATAACGGCTCACCCTCTAGAGCGTATGCAAATTAAGAATGTTGATTTTTTTTTTCCTATTGGCCAATAATCAACCAATCAGAATGTCCGATGTGAAACTAGTGACGTTAAGAAACTTCTATCCTAGATCTTTTGTATAGAGTCTCTATTTTTAATTTTGCTCTTAATTTAAATCTTTTTTTATTTTGCTTTTTAAAACTTGTATTTTCAGTTCCAAATTTCCTCCCTCCCACCACTGCCCCGCCCAACGGACTTCTTTTCTTGTATTCTCTGCTTTTGTTTCTATCTTCTGAGTATGTGTGGGGGCGCGGGAAGCAGGCGGGAAAAGCAAGTGCCAAAGCTAAGCTTTTATGTCCTTTATCTGGATTGCAGTTCCCGTGGGCTCTTGGAGGGAAACTACACAGAATGAGTTGGCACCAGGGCACCTGAAAGTATGTCTCGAACACTTAACTGAAATTTTAGAATAAGCTGGTAATGCATCCCGTGACAACAAAAATGAGTCGTATCGTTTCACCGGCACCAGCAGCAAGCCATAGGAAAGGGATAGGAATTCAACCAGCCCCCGAGCAAAGTAACACTCCCAGGGTGGTGTTCTACTCCATATCCAATCTATGCTATCACCTAAGAATATTTGAAATCGCCATAATCCTCCTGTGCCCTGGAAATCTTGGACACGAGTTCTATAACCCAAAGGATCTTTTCAGAGCCCTCTAATATAACTCTTGCTTTCTCGTTTTGTCTTAATAAATGTTAGCTGATTCCTAGAAGTAATTTTCCAGCTTTGAGATTCAAAGGATTTAGAACCAGAGGACCTGGGTTCAAATCCTGTTTCATCACTTACTGTGTGACCTTGGACAAGTCACACTGACTTCTTTGTATCCTTGTTCCTCATCTGTAAAAATGAGAGTTCGGCTAGATTTCTCTTGTCCTTTCTATGATCTATGATCCCGTGAATTTAACGGCAAAGCAGAATTCAACTAACACTGATGAAAGAGGGAGGCAGGTAACCAAGATGTCCAACCCTGTCAAAAGTTTTTAGTTCTGAGTGCCTCACTGAGGAAAAGGTAAATCAATTACAGCATATAATTCTATCCTAACAAGTTCATTATTGATTGCCACTCCCTTACAAGTATCAATCTGACCGTTTATTACCTAACATTCCTGCTTCTTATTCATACAGATGACACTCCTGTAGAGAATTTGTCTTGCTTTCAAAATACATGCAAAATCTAGTAGTTTTGCCCAAATAAACTAGCTTTTAATTTAGCTTATATATCAATAGCTGTGTGTTTACATATATAAAATATATATAAAATGTGTGTACATATATACACATACATATACGCATATATGACCCAGGCAATTTTTTTTTTAAGCAATAGCCTCCAAGGCTTCTTCCAGCTCTAAATATCTTTTTTCTTCTTGGGGAAACTCATAATATGGAAGCTTTCCCTCCATAGATGCAGTTAGGTCATTCTGTAATTTAATCCTAAACATTGACTGAGAAACTGGAGTATTACGTCAAGTAGAGAAACTGGTAAATTGGAGAGAGATCAGCCTGGTGAAGGGAATAGGAAAGTTTAGCCTGGAGAGCAACAGAGAGAGATGGGATTCGGTGGGTATATAGGTATCCACATTTTTAAATAGCTGTGGTGTGGAAAGGGGAATACATTTAGGATCTTAGAAACATGGGATATAGATTTAGAGGCAAAAGAAATATCAGAGGGAGCTTAATAGCAATATTTCTCTCCATATGTCTCCAATTTTTAAATAATGAAGTCAAAAGGCATTATTAATCTTTACTATGTGCCAGGCGCTGTGCTAAGTGCTGGGGATACACTGAAAGGCAAAGAGATGGCCTTTGGCCTCAGAAAGCTCACATTCTAAAGGGATGTTTCTCACCTATAGGAAAATGAGGCCTCTAAGAGGTTGAGTGCCTTCCACATTTGTTCTTCCTTGGCCCAAAGAAACAGAGAGTGCAGGATTTGGGTCCAGAGGATTAGCCCTGCCTCTTAATATTTGACTCTTGGCAATTCACATAGTTCAATTCTCTGGACTTCATCTATGAAATGAGAGGGCTAGGCTATATGAACTCTAATTTAAGCTCCCTTGCAGCTCTAAACCTATGAACCTATGACCTTCAGTTACAAAGAGGCAGCTTTAGACTTCATATAAGGTAAAAGTTCTAAATAATAAGTATCTAAGAGTGAACTGGGCTTTTTCTGCAGATAAGGGGGTCTTCCTTGAGGCATCCAACAGAAGTACAAATGACGACTTTTCTGGTAAGCTTAACAGGGAATTCTTGCCCTGAAAGTCTTTTTCAACCATGAGACTGTGATTTTAAAAGATTATATCTGTGTGCCACTTCAAATTTCATCACAACAAACTCGTGAAGAAACTAGCACAAGTATTACTCCTATTTTACAAATGAGGAAACAGATTTAGGTAGCTTAAGATTTGCCCGTGTTCAAATCTAAATCTGATTCTCAAGTCTTTCCATTATAACACTCTGTGCTTTCCAACTCTAAAAAAACCATGATCTTTTACTCTTTAATGCTCTGCCTCCTCATCCTCTCCTGGCTTCCTTGATTTTCTTCAAGTTCCAGCTTAAATCCCATCTTCTACAGGAGGGTTTTTCATCAGAAAAGCTTTTCATTCTAGTGCCTTCCAAATATTGATTATTTATAATTTATCCTCTATATAGATTGTTTGCACCTAGTTGTTTGCATGTTGTCTCATTAGATTATGATCTTTAGAACAGATACTACCTTTTGCCTTTCTTTATGTCCTGAAGTGCTTAACACTGCCTGGCATATACCAGATACCTAATGTATGTTATTGACTTTTTTCTTTTTAAGATTAAAGACTTTCCATAATTGGAATTATGAATTGAAAACAGACCTCCAAAGGAGGAAACACAGTATACATACATACATACATACATACATACATACATACATACATATATACAGAGAGTTCTGTTCTAACTTTTGTGCTTTAAAGTTGGTGGGTTTTTTTTAAGCCCAGTTCAAGTTTCTAGTAAATCACTGAAATTTTCACTTAGAAATTGGAGGAAATCTCCATATCAAGGGTAAAATGTTTCCTCTTTTTAGATAAAGCGATATGGTACAAAATGGATGACATTAAAAAGACACAGCAAGAGAAAAAAATGAACAAAAGAATCGAAACAAAACCCCACAGTTACACAGGGTTAGGAAGGATATTTTACTTAAACTAAGATTTAAAAAAATCAAAGAAACAGGGGGATGAAAAACGGACCAATCCTATCACAGCGCGCGATTTCGAAAGTTTCCTAATCCAATCATGTGGCAGCTTCAGTAGGTCTGGGTCTATAAATACGGAGCAGCAAAACACATTCTCAGATTCTGCCATTTCTTTCTCTCCTGTAAGACAATGGCTCGTACTAAGCAAACCGCTCGGAAATCTACAGGAGGCAAGGCTCCTAGGAAGCAATTGGCTACTAAAGCGGCTCGAAAAAGTGCTCCAGCTACAGGTGGCGTGAAGAAGCCTCACCGCTACCGCCCTGGCACCGTGGCTCTGCGGGAGATCCGCGGTACCAAAAGTCCACTGAGCTCCTTGTTCGGAAGTTGCCCTTCCAGCGGCTGGTGCGCGAGATCGCGCAGGACTTCAAGACCGACCTGCGCTTCCAGAGCTCGGCCGTGATGGCCTTGCAGGAGGCCAGCGAAGCCTATCTGGTCGGGCTGTTCGAGGACACGAACCTGTGCGCCATCCATGCCAAGCGCGTGACTATCATGCCCAAGGACATCCAGCTGGCTCGCCGTATCCGCGGGGAGAGGGCTTAAACTTCCTGATCTTTTGTAAACTTTTCCAAAGGCTCTTCTTAGAGCCACCTACGGTTTCTTCAAGAGCAGCTGCTGCACTCCTGGTCCTTACAGGACGAGTGGTTCTGGCGAGAAAAAACCTGGTTAACAAATGGTTTAATGGAAAAACTCAGTAGCCGACTTAAGTCTTGAACCCTGTTTTTCTTAGGTTTCCAATAGACTTGTAAAATAATGTAGGTGGGAATACGTCTAGGAAGTGCCGAGGCTAGTGCTGAATCAAGTATTCTGTGCAGTTCTCAGTATGTAGCTAATTTTAGAGGCCATCTACGAGAAGTGCTTTAATGTCCTTTTCCCTACTAATCTTTCAACCTATATTCTGACTTGACTTAAAACAGCTCTCTCCAAAGTTAATCTCTTCCGTTTGAGGCAGCTAGGTGGCGCAGTGGATAGTGTTAGGCGTATAATCAAGACCTGATACTTGGGTAAGCGTTGTGAGGATTGAATAAGATGTTTGTAAAGCACTTAGCCCTGTCACATAACAGATTCCAAACGAATATTGACATTGATCCAGGGATAGCTACGTGGCACAGTGGATAGAGCTCTGACCTTGGAGTCAGGAGGACCTGAGTTCAAATGTGGCCTCACACAACACTCACTAGCTGCGTGACTGGGCAAGTCACTTAACTCCAATTGCCTCACCAAAAAAAACAAAAGGAAGATCCAGCCATACTTAATTTAATTAAACAACAGGAGTTTATGCATAAGACATTAGTTATAGAGGATGCAAAAATAAAAGATCATTGTCTCCACCCTCAAGGAGTTCACATTTTTCTATTTGGGTTAAGAGACTTGCAAAACATAACTTAGTACAGAATGTTTTAAGTGCAAAGGAGAAATACAAAATACTTTGAGAGAAATTAAAAGAGGGAAAGCTCCCTTGTAGACATGGCAACAAAAGGCTTCATGGGAAAAAAAATAGCCACTGAGTTGGAGACAAGGAAAGCATAGATCTGGGTGTAACTTCAGGCATGAAAATGGGAGGGAGGAAACCTGGGTCATGAGAAATAATTAACCAGATTTATTAAGCACCTACTGTATGCCTGTATATTGTATCCCCAGTGGGCAGACAAAAAAGACAAAAATGAAACAGTCCCAGTCCTCAAGAAGTTTTGAATGCCAAGATAATGAGTTTATACTCATTAACTTGTATTTATTTTGTATATACTCATACATGTATGAGAAGTAGCATGGCATAGTGAATATATAAAGAGACAGCCTTAAAGACTAGAAGGCCTAGGCAAGACCAGATTCTCTCTGATACATCCTGGCTTTGTGACTGTGGGCCAGTCACTTAATCTCTCAGCACTCCAGATAATGTGTGGACTCTTTGTGACTCCTGAGTTTGTATTAATCTGATCAGCCACAATAGGATATGCTATACCTTAACTCCAACATAGGATGTCATTTTGGTCCTCTTCAAGAAAGAACACCAGCCAGTCCAGGCAATTCTCTAAAACTGCATGTTGAAGAAAAGTTTCAGTCCTACATTGGTAGAGGGAATTTCTTCTCTTCTGGGAGTTCTCTATACCAATGAAATCATATGTCTAGTCCCCATCTCTATGTATGTACAGGTTGTACTACATGATAGAATGTAAGCTTTTTGAGGACAGAGACTGTTTCATTTTTGTCATTTTTATTTGTATGAAGCACCTGGCACTATATTTAGTTTACAGTAGGTTCTTAAATAAATGTTTGTTGATTGATTAGGACTTGAATGGAATCCTAAGACGTTAGAGCCTAAGTACTCTAGATATCACATTGATTTAAAGGTGAGGAAATCATAGGCAATCATTGCTACAGGTTTCTGAGCAGAGAGATAATGTGGTCAGATTGGTGCCTTAGGAATGTTACAAAGGCTCTGAATCTGGAATTTTCAGTATATCAGCTACAGAACTCTGGAGATTCTAGAGACCTTTTCAGTGGATCTGTGAAGACAAAAATTTCCATGACTATGACATTTTAATTTCTAACATGGTAAATATCAATACATAAAACCTGGATGAATGTAAGCTCTTTGGGGTGATCCTCAGTTTTTAAGCGTGTAAAAGGATCCTAATACCAAAAAGTTTGAGAACCACTGCTCTAAGAACATCATCCTCAGCTCCCCATTTTTTTCTCATCCCAAATATACAATCCGTTCTCAAATCTTATCATTTCTACCTTCTTAACATCTCTTCTGTATCTCATTCTCTCCATTCACAGAGCCACAAACTTATTTCAGGCCCTGATCACCTCCTACCTCACAACTACAATAACCTACTAATTGATCTTTCAAATCTCTCTCTACTCCATTCATTCTCTATTCAGCTGCCATGATGATTTTTCTAAGGTGTATTATCTGACCATGTCTTCCCACTCGCTACTGATGACTTCCAAAGGCTATATTATTGCCCTAGCTTGCATTTCTAGCACTACATCATATAGTAATTATATTAATGGACATCCTTGCTCTACCTTTGACCTTATTGAAAAGGCCTCTAGTTTATTGGATTTTGTTTTATCTAAAATGGGATAACTTCATTAGAAATAATGCTGACTGAGGGTTTTAGATAGATACAGCTTATATTAAGAAAAGATCTCCTATGCTTTCTAGCATTTTTAATGGAAATGTGCATTATATTGAAGAAATTAATTTTTGGTTCTATATTTTATATTTGACTTTGTGCTATAACAATTCTGTTAAATCTGAAGACCTTTTCTCTGAGGTTTGGGTGGAGAAGCTTAGGTGTGCTAAAGTCAAAAACTCCCCTCTTTCTGATGTTAGATACCAAGGATACAATGCTGATACTAAAAGAAAAACTCTCTTCTCAATACTCCCATAAAACATTGTCTTGTCATGTCCTGCTAGGTTTGTGGCATATTCCTGAGAAGTTAGGGCAACTTGGGCTTGTCCCATCTTTAACCAATTAAAGTGGCCTTATGGAATTCCCCAGTCCCTAGCAAGTTTGCCCTTATCAGGAACCTCAGGGAATAGCTAGAACCTGTAAATTTACAAAAGCATTCCTTAGCAATGGTGAGAGGTGGTCCTCATAGTATGTGGGGGCTATGTCAGATTTCTTTGATACAGCCAATAATTATCTTTCATCTCTGTCCTGCTGGCCAGTTAAGATGCTTTCTGTTCTGTTCTTTGTTCTACAATTATAAAAATGTAGTGCATCTTTAATTCAGTGTCTCTTAGCCAGAGGCAGGGCCATTTGACATATTATTAAGTCACCTGCCCCTCACTTAACTCCAATTCACTTGCAAGTCATAACATCTCCTTGTTGGCATGATCCTCTTCGAGAACAAAGGACAAACAACAACCAGCCTGTCATAATAAGCGATGTCTTACGCGGAGATTTGCCTCAGTTTGCCTCTTTGTTAAATTTCAAATGAAATAGTATCTTTTCAAAAGCTTTTTCTGTGATTTATTGCTATAATCATAAGTTTTTTTGTTCTTATTATTAATATGGTCAATTATTTTAATAGTTTTCCTAATATTAGACCAGTCCTGCATTCCTGGTATAAATCCAACCTTGTCATAGTGCATAATTTTTGATACATTGCTGTACTGTCCTTACTAATATCATATTTAAGGTTTTTTTAAATCAATATTCATTAGGGATATGGGTCTATAGTTTTTTCTCATTTTTGACTGTTCCTGGTTTAGCTATCAAGACCATTTTGATATCAAAGGAATTTGGAAGGACCCTTTCTTTACCTATTTTTCTTGAACAACTTAATGTAATGTTGGAATTAATTGTTTTTCTTAATTAATTGTAAATGTTTGATATAATTCAGTCATTAATCCATTTGGTACTGTGTTTTTTTTCTTTGAGAATTCATTTGTGCCTTGTTCAATTTCCTTTTCTAAGATTGGGTTATTTAGATTTTCTTTCTTGTCTACTAATCTGGGCATTTAATATTTTTGTAAATATTTATCCATTTTATCTAAATTATTTATTATTGGTATATGATTATGTTCTTACATTATATATAAGTATATAATAAGTTCTTAATAAGTTATTTTCTTTTTTATTGGTAGTAAATTAACATTTTTTCATTTCTGATAATTTGGTTTACCTCTTTCTTTTTAAAAACAAAGTAGCAAATAGTTTACCTATTTGATTTTTTAAAAAAACAGCTAATTTTTAAATTAATTCAATGATTTTTTTCCTTTTAATTTTGTTAATCTCTTTGATTTTCATGATTTTCATTTTGGTGTTTAACTAGAGGATTTTAATTTATTGTTTTTTCAGGGTTTTTTTTTTAGTTGTGTGCCCAATTTGATATTCTTTCTTTTATGGATGAAAGTGTTTAAAGATATAAATTTTCCTCCAAAGACTGCTTTGACTTCATCTCCAAAATATTGGTATATTATTTCATTTAAGTAAATTATTGATTGTTTCTATGATTCTTGCTCCATCCATTCTTTAGGATTATTTAGTCTCCAATTAATGTTAATTGTATCTACCCAATTAAAATTAATTGGCTCTTTATCAGTGGCCCTTTGAATATAATTTTTATTGCATTGTGGTTTATAAAGGATGTGTTTAATATCTGTGTATTCCTGCATTTGTTTGTGAGATTTTTATGCCCTAATACAGGGTTAGTGTTTTTTAAGTTTCCATGAACAGCTGAGAAATAAGTAAAATTTATATTCATTTCTATTCTCATTCTATAATCTCCAGAGGTATATTATATCTAACTTTTCAAAAGTTCTTTTCAAGACTTTTACTTCTTTATTATTGTAGTTTGTTTTGCCTTAACTAGATCTGAAAGGAGTAAATTGAGGTCCCCGGCTATTATAATTTTACTATTTCCTCTGATAATTCATTTAACTTTGCCTTTAGGTATATGGATGCTGTGTCAGTCAGTACATATATGCTTAGTATTGATATTAATTCATTGTCTGTGGTACGTTTCAGTAAAATGTAGTTTCCTTGTTTATCTCTTTTGATTGTTTTTGCTTTTGCTTTGTCTGAGATCATGATTGCTTTCCTTGCCTTATTTTAACTCTCTATGGAGTTGTTTCAAATGTGTGTCTTATAAACAACATGACATTGGATTCTACTTTCTAATCTCTTTTGCTATTTTCAGATTTATGGCTGATTTCATATCATTCATATTCAA